ACTCTATTTAAATATTATACGAGCTTTGCTGTTATTCTCTCTCTTTCTCTCCCCTCTCGGTCCAAGAATAACAACAAAGTTCGAATAATATAAATATGGCGAGATTTGTGTTATCAAAGGAAGGGCGCAGCGTTTGGATGAGGGAGGGAGGGAGCTAGAGAGAGGGAGAGAGAGAGAGAGAGAGAGCACTGCAGTGCAATTCTCGCGTCTCGCAACAATATAAATGCATTTCTTTGAATTCCCTGCAGCTGCCATTGGGTGACTGTGAGCGCTAAATGCCATGTAACACAACACTATGAATGCTGCCCACTATGACGTGAATGGGCCCTGTCTCGCGAGAGTTTTTACCGCTAAGATCGAATGACTTCACTTCTTCTAAAATATATTGTTCTCATCTTAATGGAGCGGCGGGCTTGTCGTCGAGTGGTTTCTAAAGGCTATATTTCGTGGAAATGTGGAGAGAGAGACTTTTATGATCTATTTATAGGTGTGCTTCACAGATCGGCAATTTTGCTGCTAATGGCTCCATCATGTCACCGGGACATAAAGTGCACACAACTGAATTCTATATTTTAGAGGCAGGCTACTGTTATCAGTATTTTCTTACTTTTCATGTTATTTACTTTTCGAATGGAAGGTAAGATTATGTATGGTGGGTAACGTGTATTACCTTGATGTGAGATTAAGAGTGAAGCTGAGTATTATTAATTACACGGTTATCTAATTGTTTTGAGTTTATAATGAATAATTATTGTGTAACATAGCATTCAGATATTTTGTGTGATATGGTATTTATTCAGTAATATAGTAATATTAACATCAATAAACTGCTCTCACAAACCAAGCACCTTAAAATAATGACCACAATATGTCATCTGACGTGACTCCAACATTGTACCACTATCACGTGACTCCAACATTGTACTAATATCACGTGACTCACAGTCACACGTTAGATGCCAATAATCAGCATACCAACCACACCATTCAATGGTGAACGAACTGCAAAGTCAGAAATTCATTCACAAACAATTTCAGATATTTTGAGTACATGACCATATTATTTCGATGATATGTTGGTATCATTGCGTAGATAATATTACATTTTACATTACTCGATATAGCGCAATGCTATTTTGAACACAATTGCAATTCTACCGTTGAGAAGATTGTTTTTATTGTATTCATATGCACTGATATAAAATCATTCTTACTAAGAGTCATAAATAACTTGCATCATTTACAATTGACCAATCATGTAATTCACTACACCCTATGACGCAACTTTTAAAATTTTGATTACATTTAATTTTTATCGTGATCTTATCCATGTGTACTTTTTACTAGTGAAAAAGTGTTGAAAATTGAGCGATGAAATGAAAATTAGTTTAAACTGCTTGACTTGTTTACAAATGTTTTAATCACCTGATAGATCTATTGGCAAGTGACAAATTGAGTACATAAAATCAGCGATCGATGAATTGAAACAATGAATTTATTAATTTATTTTAAAACAATTAATATCATTTTAAATAGAAGTATAATATTCGAGTGAACCACTTCTAAAACCAACAGGAATTTAGCAATGCCTCAGCCTGAACGAAAGAAATCCCTCTTCGACATGGGGGGAGGTTTTATAAAAGGATTCGCGTTGGGCTACCTCTGCAACACTTTTTTCAACAAGTATGCGATAGTCGGGGCTGTGGCGGGGATAGCGGCGGGTATTTCCCACGAGCAAGCAGATCCTGAGTCTTTTCCTGATTATGGGGATAAGGTTAGGAAACAGTTGCAAACTTTTAAAGACTTGTATAAAGACGAAAGTGACGATGACAGGTGAAATGTGGTATTGTTAGTTATTTATTAATGAGTTTATAGGTGTCTTCAATTTACATCAACTGATGAGTTGAAGACCTTTGATCTGCCATGGTTATTATTAGACAGTGACGGTTGTAACTTGTAAATATGTTTGAGTATCAGGGGGTGACTTTGTCGTGTTCATAAATAATTTTCTCCTGGAATTCATGATCTTTGTTCAGTTGAGTTGTGATATTATAGAAATGAGAAACATTTGAAGATTCTTTAGAAATGAAGTAGTACCCACCCTTATAAGTACTGTGCAGTTGTGGAAAGGTTATCAAATCCAGGTCCGGTTCCACAGTGTCATGTTTCAATAATTATACCAAATATGTTGACTTTATCGTATTATGTTTTACAAGCTATCATCATCTGTGACTGTTACAGATGATGATGATGTTGTTGTTACAAGCTTATTTCATCAGATTTCAATTTATATAATACCAACAGAGTTTTTTGAAACTATGCGTATTTTTTTCTTTTTCGATTTATAAACGAATACGGTAAAATGGAAATTAGAAATTACTTTGACACTGAGAATTATGAGCGTGACAACAAAACTACCATTACTCAATTTCGCATTATAAATTAAAAGCATTTTTAGTATTAACTTTGGGCGGTTGTGACGTAAGTAACATTTCACACTAATTTCTTTCAGAGTCAAATGAATTTTCCACCATTCCAAGATCATGACATATTTACCTCAAATCACGCCAATACTCTTGACATCATCGGTTCATCGTCATGTCACATCTTCAAAGACAATCAATCACACTGCTTTGACCAATTTCAAAATCTCTGCACTGAAACATCAAACTTTACTGACGAAACTCTCAACCAGGGCAGTAATAACCCCGTGTTTACTGACAGAACTGCCTCTAGGCTCTCCCAAGATGAAACATTTGGATCTAAACCCTTCAGTTGGTGTACAGATGAGCCGAGACCATGTTTTAGTCCTATTTACAGTTACTCTGGAGTTTCTGTCGACAACGAATACGCCAACCATTACCCCATTTCTCAGACCAATGCTGCCGCAGCTGTGGCTGGAGTCCAAGTACCTCAGCTCACTGAAACGTATCTAACAGGAATTGAAGATAATATCTTCTCTCTACCAGCCAACCATCTCGGTGGAAGTTTCCCTCCTGATAATATGACTGAGTCTCAAATGAGTTACTCCACTCACTTAGTGACACCCCAGACTCTAGCAACAATACCATCTGCTTCCAGTGCTAATAAACTGACCTTTACTACAAACAACACTCTTCCACACTTCTCCACAGCACACAGGTGCACTACAAAACCTATCTGCAGTAAAGGAGACCTCCTCTCGGAGCTTACACAGGAGATATTCAGCAATTCTAAAGATCAGAAATTACCACAGATTCGCAATCACATCTTACAATCTGTGTACAACGAGACCACCCAGCAGACCACCAAGCAGACCACCCAGCCGCCGCGGCAGAAGCTGGACGGATCTCAGTTCTTGGCTCCTATTCCTGTAAACGCTCCAGCAATTCCCTCACTCCCTGAATCACTGGCCATTAAAATCAAATCTAATCAAAATAATGGTGTTTTTAAGTTTAAAAAGGCGTATAAGAGGACGAAAACAGGACGATTCCAAGGATCCTACTTAGATTTAATCACAGATGAAGAGGAAGAAACTAGGCCATCTTCTAACACGCGTCTTGCTAAACAACAGAAACTGTGTTTGCTGGACACAATAGATGATCACTACCAGAACCAGGAAGTTAAGAGCCAGCAGATAAACGTGTCGGTGTACAGAGAGATAAAAACCTGCAACGAGAGAGATCTGGGGAAAGGAAACTTCTCTGGTTATGTTGTAGCTGACACTTCATGTTTTGAGGGCTGCCAGCCTTTTAACCGCCACAAGGAACAGTCTGAGTTAAACGATGAGATTAATGTGGGGACGCTGTCGTCCTGCAAGAGATTAGGCGCAGTACGCAAAATGTTCACACCGAGAGGCGCTGAAGTTGTCATTATCAGTCCTCGTCCTAAGTATCAGATCGGACGCACGAAGACCTCCAGATCGACCACACCGCGCCGTGTACAGGACATGGAGAGCAAGGAGATGACGTGTAATACTTGTTCTAAGAAGTTTAGGAGCAGCAAGTTGTTGTTCTCACATATTTTGAAGTGGCACACTTCTAAGAAATACCACTCTAGCTAGCTTAGATAGCGTAGTAGAATTAGTTGATTAGCTTAGTTACTAGTTAGCTTAAAGGTATCTTGTGGACCTTAGAAATCATGTTATTGTTATTTTAACTTATTATCATTGTATTTGTTATTGTTATTTTAACTTATAATTATTGTATTTGTCAATCTAAAACTAATAAAATTGTAATGTTAAATATCTCCATGAAGATATCAATTAAGATATCTATAGTCTGATCATAATCTAATAATATTTTAATTGCATATCAATAAAATTATATTATACGTAATTTTTCATCAGCATTTTTGCTGAAATTGTTAAATGTTAGGCATTTTGATCGTCACTCTTCTTACATGCCTAATGATATTTGTAAATAGAGAGTTTCAGATGCATTCGAGTTTCAGAATGATTTCAATTGGTAGGTGTATACTGTAAACATGGTAAATTTATATTTTGTGATATATTGTTATGAACGCAACATAAACTTGCATTTAGTCTGGTTCCTACAGTTGTAGTTTAAACTAGTTACATTTCTTAATATATAAGTAAAATATATAATTTACTATGTAATTAAACTTTGATTTTGGCGTCATGATTTTCAATGTTCAGTTCGCGATAAGACGAATTGATATGAAGCTAGGTCATCTTCTATGTTATCTTGTAATGTTTTTAATAAAAAACATCTTCTTTTTAAACTGCCCATCTATCAAGCGTGTTTCCTTGAATCCTGAAATCATAATTACATAATTAATTACATAATTACATAATAACAGACAATTTAAAGTACACAGTTCAGAGTACATACCATGAAGTGTACAGGGTGGTCCAGAATTAACGTAACAACGTAGTTGTAGTAAGTACAGTGCTGGTGTATAAAATAGACCTGTAGATTTAGTAGGAATCACTTATAACGCTTTAACCCTGAGCCACCCTGAATACCTACATGATAATGAATACTATTACAGTACTAGAACTTATATAACTTCGTAAGTCGTCATTATAAGCGGTATGATGACATCATTAAGAATCTGCAGCACGCTGACCTGTCGTCATTATAAGCGGTATGATGACATCATTAAGAATCTGCAGCACGCTGCCCTGTCCACCTCACCCTAATTCTATTTTTAAACTGTTCACATCCTCCTTCTTGCCTCTTTATAATCCCTGCTAAATTTGATCACAAATTCCTGTAACATTTCGACCCCATAGCACCAGTTTCATTTTAAACACGGTATTCGCCAGAGAAAATGTTGTGATACCCCCGCTGTACCCTTATATCTGTGGTGTGGCCTCCCTGAAACCCAATACCGCACTGTCGTGTAACATTACGTAATATGTTGCACAATATTGAGATCATTACATGTCACAGACTCAACTCATATGACATGTTTCATAAGGTATACTGAGTGTGAGTGAATGATAGTTTAGAAAGTTGCAAGACTTGGCGAGTAGACTAAATTTAGGAAATATAATGCTCACAAACAATCTCTAGCTTTGTGGAGTAATAAATTAGTACTTCTAAGTAGTTTGTGGCTTATTATATTCTAAATAATGCTATGTAATATCGTTTACAGTGCAAATAGAGCATACTTGTACAGTCTAGCACATTCTATCTCCCGCTCTAGCTCCCACTCTTTCTACGCCCATGTCAGAATCTTGGCACGCTTTCAACTTTTTCGAGCTCTGCATTTCCAGATATACATATTGTCGTTAAGTGCTCTGTTTTTATTATCTAAAGCACCATTACTTATACCTGTATATAAAAACAATCTACTCAGTTCTCAATCACAAAGACCCTGGCCCTGATGTCTGAAATTTTTCGTTTATATTCCTTCACGAGATGGATTGTTTATTATATATCTATTACTTAAAAGTAACAATTAGAACAAATAAGAACATTGACCTTCAAGTTCTTGCAGGATGTCGGCACCTAGCCACATCGCGCTACGAGTCAAGCTGAATCAAGACAATTTGAGTTCAGCTGAGGAGAGATCAAATGATATCATAACTCAACTGGGAGAGATATTCGAGGGAGGGAAAAATGTCAGTTCTGCGAGCAAAGTTGATCCAGTTAACATTCACTCTGGATCAACCAATTATTCTATCCTGCCACATCTTCAAAAATTACCACACCCCACACCTCAACCCGCCGCTAAAGCATCGCCCAAGACCACTCACTCTGAAGAGGAGCGGAGTGCAGAGGAGCAGAGTTATACTGGACGTGGTGGAAACCACCAAATGGTTACCATCAAAGAGGAGGAACCTCAATCACCAGTTGATAAAGAACGAGATGAAGTAGAGCGGCACATTGAGAAAGTAAGCATCGCCGCCCCACACCGCGCCCCCACCTCTCCTCTGTTCCCGGGGATATCACGTGCAGTTCCCCACACCCCCGAGCAGTGCAGCAGCTCTGATTGCATCCACAAATTCGGTCCACAAACCAGGGACTGCAAGCAGCCAGATTCTGACTCGTATAACCTTAACGAGTCTCGAGCCGAGGATTCTGCGGAGTCAGAATGTGAAACTGAGAGTGTTCACAAGCCTGAGCCACGGCTGGTGTTTGAGGATCCCAGGGGCTCGTGTGTACCGCGTCTTAACTTTGACAGTTTGCCAGGTAACCAGTCCGATTCTGAGGGTTCCTCTGCAAGGTCAGATAGTTTGGAGTATTTGAAGAACATTTTTGGTCCTTCGTCCCCGTATCCTTTTATCAATCCTTACTACTTGTACATGAACCACTTTCATCCAAATCAGGTGAGACATTTTTGTAGAATTTCCATGGATGACTTTAAACAGCTGTCAGATTTGATATAATTTAACTTCGTTATTACCCCGAAGTGTTTAATTACATAGTACATACCTTGATTATGATCCCATGATCGAAATGGCATAATGTCTAAATCAAACGTGTGCCCTTTAAGGTTTACTCGTTAAATCACCACCATAATCATAAAAGCTCATTACACGACCGAGCAACGATCGAGTACTTATAATTCTTATAAATGGTTAAAATATATAGTATCTAGCGCATCTAAAGCTAAGGACCTGTATCTATGATGAATGACGTTTATAAAATCACCCACTTATTTCAGTTCATTTCACCACGACCACTGGACGCAACGCAGGGAATAGTCCGACCCACCGCACAGTACACCCCACCATTTTCTATGCCACCATTCTCTCCCATCCCTATACACTCACCCCTTCAAGTAACACCACCAAATACAACCAAACCTCGAACAAAAAGAAAATCTGTCTCGTCTGCAGCTGCCAAGGCTCCAAAACGACCACGCCCAGTTGATACAGAGCCAAAGCCATCAAGGCAACAACGTCTCGTGTCGTGCAATACCACTGATCTAAATGGGGTGGCGTGCGACGAGAAGTTTCACTCTTCACAACAGTTAGTGTGCCACATTGCCAACATTCACAAGAAAGAAGCTGAGCATGTTTGTAAAACATGTGCTAAGTTTTCTCTGGAGAAGTTGATGTCGTGGCGAAGAAGGATTGAAAATGAGAAGATGAAGAATAACTTGGGCCCTTCGCTGAGCATGGCAGAGGGAAAGTTTGACATCATTATGATCGATAAATAGACATGGAACGATAAAATACAATAAAAAATTATAATCTTACTCATTAGTTTTATCCTTTGCTTATATATTATTCAAATATCGTTATTCCGATAGACTTTCATGATAGACTTGTGAAAGTTCCTAAAGATTAACCTAAGTTTAACGTTTGATACTGTGTATGAAGCTTCTAATACTGGTATACAGTTATAAATTATGAATAGAAGGCGTGTCTGAGTTTTTCCCGGAAAGTCGGCCCAGGATTCCTGGCACCTAATCAAACGAAGTCTTCCTGATTGCAGCCGTTGTAAATATCTTAGCTCTATGCGTCAAAATGTGATCTCGCAAAGATTCCTTATTAAGTAACCAGACAGTAATTCATGTCATGATAATAAGGCTGCTTACAGCTTCGGCGATGACGTGATTCCGGTTAGCAGTTTCCGTAGTCGGTGTTTATGTTTAGAAGTCTGTAACGCGCATGGTCTCACTTACTATTTGAATTTTAGTGCGCATTACAGAATGACTCACGCGCGCACGGCCGGTCGGTCGTGCATGACGTGCGTGCGCTAGTCAGAGACTGGCTAACTTAACTATGCTGTGTGTATATTTAGGCTGTAGCTAGACAGTTCACAGTCGTGCTGCAATCTGCATAGTGCATGCTGTACTATTACTAACAGTTACCTAGTAGTAGAGGCTCTTACGGGCATTGTCTGCTCGATACGTTAGGGACCCCAGATACACCTTACTAGACGTATTTTTGACCGTAGAATCGATTGAAAGTGGTTTCAAGATGATTGGACTGATTGTTCTGGGGTAAAATCGCAAAAAACCGATTTTTGGGCCAAAAATAGGCCAAAAAACCATGTTTTTTGATATTTTGAGCAAGTTAATTTTGTTGGCATGTCGGCAAAACTTGCATAAAGATAGCTAAAAGACAGCCGCACAAGATTGTATAAAAATAAAACAAATCCCTCTATTTGTTCTGAGGTAAAAATACAAAAAAGTGGTAAAAATTTTGACTTTTTTGCTTTAAGTTTGAATAATTTTTTGCAGTTGTATTAAATCAACCCAAAAATAGTCACATCGTGTTTGCCTAAATTTTTCCTTTCCGAGAAGTACCCACTTCATATACTTAATCGAAGTTTGAATATTGTCACTCCGCAAGCGTTTTTGCCAAATTTTCGACGCGCACTACGCGCAAAAGCATTTAGTTGTTATCAATTGGCACCCGCGCGTTCATCATAAATTTCAAACAGCTATAACTCAGCGAGATTATGTCCGTTCTAGCTCATATTTTCACACTAAATAGAAAATAATGTGATCTTATTGCTGACAAAATATGGATATAATTACTTTATTTGCCTTAGAGTAATAGACTGTCAAAGTTTAAAACGCGCATTGGTATAGCACGTGACTAATAAGGCCAAATTTATACTTCTTAACATATTATCGATCCTTAGACATCATACTATTGTGTCCAATTAGCGGTTAGGTCTCTAAACTCGTAGCAGAAAACACGTCTTTTTGCCCGTAAGAGCCTCTACTATAGATTGAACCAACATTGCACACCTATGAAGATGTTGATTGGACGAAGCTTTGATAAACAATCAACTTCCCAAAAGCTAGAAGACATCTGCTCTAGAATCGATAAGTTTAAGAAAGAGGTAGCAACGGGCCGATTTAATTGAAACGATTCATCATTTCATGACTTTTCGCCAATAGATCTTGCACTGTGGGATTAGTAACCCACCCTCATGTTAACAGATATTAATTTTATTTGACAACCTGGGCTATGCAAGCTGACACTGAACTCTGAAGTCTAAAAATACTTATTTAAATCCAAACAGTTACGGACATGAACATGTAATTAGGTCCGTCCGACCTAATAGGTCCGACGGGTCATAACATGCAGCTAGTGATATGTAGCTAGTGGTCTCCTGAACTTTTTGAATTTTCATCCAGATTAGACTAAAAATAACTGAGTTATGAGCCAAAACCAACATGCCCATATCTGGGCATATGTACCAAATTTGATAGATTTTGGCCCATAAATTGGTCAAATATCAATATTTTTGAATAAGACTAACTTTATTTAAAAGGTAAGTCTAAACTACATATTCTCTGTGAGTTATTGCTTTATGTCATGAACATGTAATTAGGTCCGTTGGACCTATTAGGTCGGTCGGACAGACCTAATAACATGTTCATGTCAGGTACACTAAATAAACTGATAAAAATCAAGTATATACTTAATATTAGTCTGTCGCAGTTCGAGGGTGGTAACATATCTTAGCTAAAAGTGTAACAGTGTTAGTAACACTCCAGTCACTACAGTTTACAGTTTACTTGTCATACGTTGTATGACCCGCCGCGCACGAAGTGCGCGGCTCCCCCTGTAGCGTCGTCACATAGCGTCGTCACTGTAGCGTCGTCACATAGCGTCACTGTAGCGTCGTCACATAGTGAAACGACCGTGGGGGTCGCAACGTGATACAACAGTTTACAGTTTACACGTGTTGGATCTGTAGCGTCGTCGTTGGATCTGACAGAAGGACGGGATCTAGAAAGGTGAGTTGATGAGTAACATCACAATCAAAATAAATTAAAGTTTTGACTTAATTTCTCACTTGTAACCAATTAGTCAGTCAACTATAATAGATGGCATATGACACGATTCACGATTGAGGTGCTGGAAGTTTGATTTCGATCGGAGGAAGCTCACAGCAGAACGTTTAACAAAACAAAAATTTTTACTGGGCCGCGCTCAGCCTGTCATTCCGCCAAATTCTATATGTTAATGAACATAATATAATAGCCTGGGGTCCTCAGGTAAAAAAATTTGTGCTTTCCAAATCCTGTCCCATTTTCAAATATGAAAATGTCTGAACACAAATTTGACAGATTGGATGAATTTTTTGCCCAAAAACCAATTAGTCAGTTAATTGATGATGCGATGGTATGATCAAACCAAATTGAGGTACCGGAACTTCCGGTCCGGAAGTCAAAATCTCGAAGAAAATTGCAAAATCATATTGTCCCAAATTCTGTCCCATTTTCAGTTTTTGAAGATGAAATTTCTTGATACATGTTACGTATCGCAAATATCAGAGATATATATGAGATATATATCAGAGATATATATTTTCCGCCTTCGGCGGCGCGCGCTTCGCGCGCGAAAAGTGGCATGCAACGTATGTCAAGAAATTTCCAGGATTATAATAGATGGCATATGACACGCGATTGAGGTGCTGAAAGTTTGATTTCGGTCGGAGGAAGCTTGACACACGCTGCAACCCCTTTTGATCGCAGTCCGGCCGGCGTGCACGCTTCGCGTGCACGAGAGGTATACAACGTGTAGCAAGAGGAAGCTCACCGCAGAAAGTATAAAACTGAAAACGAAAATTTGTATTTTCCAAATCCTGCCCCATTTTCAAATATGAATATTTCTGAACACAAATTTAACTGATTGGATGAATTCTTTGCCCAAAAGCCAATTAGTCAGTTAATTGATGATGGTCATTGGTATGAAACCAAATTGAGGTACTTGAAGTCAAAATCCTGAAGAAAATTGAAAAGGCGGCGCAGGTTATATCAGATATCTCCACCGAAAGCACATCTAATTTGATACGTATGAAATATATCTATAACATTAACAATTGCTTGATTCTGCACTAAGTTGGCGTTTTACGACCAAAATTGAACGGGCTACGGGTATCGTTTAAGATCACTTTCGAGGCACCTCGACAAAAGCTATTCACGTTATTGTGCTTTTCACGGAGAAATACGTCAGTAGCGCTTTGAGCCTGTTTTTATCTCTTTAAAAGTATTTAATCCTGTTTATATTAATTCTGAATACATTGCAATAGATTTTATCTCGATTCGTGAAGTTAAATTAATGCGTCAATTTGGGAATGTGTTGACATACGCTGCATGCCACTTTTCGAAGGAATATGCTTCCGGTGGAGATATAACCTGCGCCAATTTTCAATTGAACAATCTTTTTGCCCCATTTTCAGTTTTAGATATAACCTGCGCCAATTTGCAATTGAACAATCTTTTTGCCCCATTTTCAGTTTTAGAAGAAAAGAAACATTTTGACAGATATCGCTCAACACTCCGCAGATTCTCAGATCAATTTCTATTCTGCAGGTTTAATTAAATCTATTTTAATCTAGAACATGAGTACTGACACGAAGACCTTTAAGTTTAACTTAAACACTTCATAGATTTGTTTCCTAATTTACTTTTAATGGTATCGATATATTGGAGTTTGTACATTAGCAAGTTTTCAATCATAAATAACAGCTTTTCACTTGGTATTCAAGATTGTTTTCTTTAAAACTTTTAAAATGCGCCAGTTTCACAAACAAATATTTGCCTGTGGTACTCCTGTACTTGGATACCCATTAAACAGTGTTTTATCAGGCTAAATCAATTTAATAATATGATCATTTTAACGACCAAAATAAAACGCCTGGTGACTGAATCAAGTTTTACCTTTCATACGCCCAGAAAACACTTTTTTTATGAATTTTCATTAAAGACTAATATTCAGTGTCAATGATAAAAAACAATACAGAATACAGATGTTATTAAATCTAGATGTAACTAAGTCAAAATGTAACGCATACCGACAAAACAAGAAATAGATTTAATAGGAAACCAAAAACAATAAAAATAAGACAAAAATCACAATCTAAACAAAAACTTCAGAAGTTGTCAATAACTTTAGTTCGAAAAATAATGTCTGACGGAAAGCTGAAAAGAATTCAATACAACAAAATGATTTTAGAAACTTAATTTGTCTAATTAATAGCTAACAATTTAAGGTCCCCTTCATTAAATTTCATTGGTGAATATTAGACCTAATAAAAATTACAACGACGATCCTCCCCCACTAAACAAATGCAAATTTAATGAGTTTTCTTAGCCGCGACCACATGAGCTCTTCCAAATTTTTTCTGATATGCCCTTGTAGAAAAGAACAAACAGACTATCAGGACATAAGCGACAAGAATAAACAAGACCCGCTGTACATCAGACAGTATATTGAGTATAGGATAGACCCATTTTCCTATGTTCAGGAAAATTATGTAAGACCAGACTGTATAGGAAACTCCGAAGAAGGCTATGGCGAGAAGTCCTTGGCGTTTCTTGGGGATGGTGATTTCGGTTACCAGAGGTTCCGTTAGTGCCCAGAAAATAATGAAGGTGTGTACCTGAACGGATATTGGAAGTCAGCGACTAGGCAGCAGTTATAAATAACTAATAATTCATAGTGTTAACAGGCCAAAGTTG